AATTTATATTTCCGCAGTTCACATCAACATTCTACGAACAGCTTTGTTTGCTTGAACAAAGAATGACTATTTTGAGCTAATCAGTCAAGGGTATTCTGTACGGATGACTGCAAATCAGACCACGTAGGTACTCACGTTCTTCAGAGAACATACTGGAAAGAGTCGATAGGTTTTAAAGAAAAAGGTAATGAATTGCAATTACCACTGCGACGATCATATTATTATTGAAATTTGTATTTCCGTACTTTACATCAACATTCTATGAACAGCTTTGTTTACTTGAACAAAGAATGACTATTTTAAGCTAATCCGCAGTCAAGGGTATTCTGTATGGATGACTGCAAATCAGACCGCGTAGGTACTCGTTATTGCATGGGCTGCCGATGATAGCAACGCCCAATCGAAATATTACATAATTTGCTCCAAAATGCAGATTTTTAAGCAAATGTTTCAATAAAAGTTTGAAGAAAATGTTAACTGTGTCATGTGTCATGATTTTTTTTGCCACTCCGAGCTGTTTAAGCGCTATTTTGCGAGATGATTATTTGACCTCCGCGGTTAGAACTAAAGCAAAGCATGGGTAAGTGAGTGCGCATGCGCTGTGAGAATGCCCCAGTTAAAAATAGAGCCAATCGTTTCTCGTTTCAAAAGGCTAACTTGCCTATTTCTATTCATAATGGTAGAAAATTCAACCTTTATGGCCATAAAATTGATCAGGTAAAAGATTAAACCTTTTATATTGGAAGTCTGAAAACAAAGTTTCTAAATCTGTAGGAATAATTCCCCTTTAATTCGTAACTCTGGTTTCCCATTTACAAAACCTTTACGACCTTTACCCTATATTTTTCTCTACTTTTTTTTATTGCAACTTGGTTTGGGTCTATAATTACAGAATTAGAAATATGATGCAACCTAGTTGGTCTTGAAATTCTCAGGAAGCGGGTGATCAGAATCATAGCTACAACCCCAGTTTTTTAAAATCGTGGTATTTTAAAATTACATGATTTATATGTAACACAACTAAGCTTATTCACGCACTCCTATCACAACTGTACTCTACCTCTAAAATTTTATTGCAAATTTACCTTAGAAATTCAAATCCATTTATATAATACAAGAAACTCTTATACATTTCGTTTGCCTTTCTGTGGTACCCGTGTCGAACAATTTTCCGTTTTTCACTTCGCTGTGTATGATAGGCGTAATGATTAATAATAACTAATAATCAGTGTATTAAGCTGTTTAATAGAATATCCTCGGATCAGTACCAAACTGGCTTTTCTGCTACTACAATACCAGGCATGAGAGAGTCTACTACGACTTGCCCTGCTTTGGCACAAGCCGCTTCAAAAAACCGTTCATACCAGCCTGCGGTCGTGCAATGTTATTGTAATGTTAGTTAATGTGTAAACCAGTTAAAATATTCCTCGAGTCAGACATTTTGGTTTTCTTTTCTTACTTTTATTGGCATTATTCTTAAATAACAAAATTGTATTTAGACTTCATCAAATTTTTACACTCTTTATAATGTTATTATAAATAATTAAGCAATTTAGCCTGCCGGCTAAAATTTGATTATTTTAATAAGTTACTTTAATAAACCTATCTATCTATCATATCTGCATCAACATCAGTGTAAGAACGCGCACCACGCGGTTCTGACTGAAGTCGCTGCTCAATTTATCGAGCAAACACTGAGTAGTTTTGCCTCAGCTACCCCAAACAACGCTGCGGAAGAAAAACTGTGACGTAATAACATAACAAGTTAGATTTCCATCAGTTAGCACGCCAAGGTTGGAATGAGAAAGTTTGATTGGAACGTTACTTCAGTAGATGATGAAGATGAATTGTTAGTTGAGAACTGGAGACTCCAACTTCACACGTAAGTAGTTACACGGTGCTGGGAAAAAGAAAGAATGCAAGTAAGATTTTGCAACCGAATTAAGAGAGTTTGACACAGTAGGAATTAAAAGACTTCAGAGCCG